GGAATGATTAATATCGGGAAGGCTCCATTTTAATTTTTTTCGCTTCACTGTTTGATAATTTTTCAATTGAAAATGAATAATGGATATCATGCCTTATATTCCTTTTAGAAAGAGCTCTAAATCTAGAAACCTGTAGCATATTGATTGAAAAGGAGTATGTTGAATTGAAATGACAAAAACTATTTTGTTATGTATTCATTCATTTGTGTCTAGGATTCCTTGTTGAAAGATATGGAAAACTTTATACAGGGTCTTCCCCCCATAACTAGAAAACCAAATCATCTACAATAAATCGCCAGAACTCGTCAATTTTCATACATGGAGAGAGCATTCTCAATCAAACTTGATTTGATCATCCCCCTAACTACTGGCAACCCCAACTTTGAAATTTCGAGTGGGAATATCCCACTCTCAGTACATTATTTCAGAGTCCTTTCTATTGCGAATTCTTTGTGTGCAGAAGTCTTATCGTTTTAATTTTTTTTTAAGAAGCATAACTGAGATATTGGCTGACAGATATTCGACGGTTATTATGAATCATTGACATAACGAAATATATTTTATTGCAGGAATGACAACTGTTGACCATCGTTTCTTCCAATACCGAGTCCACAAAATTAATCAGAAAACAGTCTTCGATCTGATGGCAAATTCAGTATTAGTACAATATCAAAATCATCTGTCATAATGCGTACGTTAGCTTCATGATGTTATTATAACTAATGACATCTCATGTCATTCCTAGAATCGAATTAAAATGAATTCACGATGACGTTAGTAATTATATCGAAAAAATGCCATTCTTATTAGACATTGATTTTCAATCTATTACTCGACATATTTTTTTATACGTTTGTATTAAATCCAGCATGATACTAACATTTCAAGATGTGAATATAATGGTTATGAAAAGATCGTTTTATTTGATACATATATCTTCAATTTCCTGCTCTGCGTATAGTATAATATGTTTTCTATTCATCCGATACGATACGTTATTCTGGAGATGAAAATTTGACGAATGAAAAAGGACGTTTATACTACGCTGAAAATTGGGACTTATCGCCCCAGACAGATAATTCCTGTCCAGAAATTTACGTATTGTTTAATCTTCTTGTGAATCATCTAATATCGAACGTTATTTCAAAAATGGAAATGTGACAATGATAAATTGACGTTTATACGACGCTGAATGTTGGGACTTATCGCCTCTGAAAAAACCATTTCTTTTAGGATATTTATTTTCAATCTATCAATTGACGTATAATATGGTATGTTTGTTGATCGTCTGATAGAAAACGTTATAATGAAGATGCATATTGACTGAATTGACGTTTATACTACGCTGAAAGTTGGGACTTATCGCCTCAGAAAATACGTATTTTGGATACGTATGTTTGATGTTGACCATCATTTATATGACGTAAAATTGATATTTCATTCATGTTTCCGCGGAAAAAATGTTAACCGGGGTATACTTAACTTTCTCTTCATTGGATTCAGGTTTCCTTGACTCGTCCAGTTTTTCACATTCCCATTTAATTTTCTCCATCGTCGGAATACGGAAATTGTCTTATTGAATCACTCAGTATTTTCTTCTCCGCAGATGAATAATATGATTCTTGAATTCACTGACAGTCTTTTAATCAAAATATTTTTAATTTAGGAATGGCAAAGGCGGAAGAAGCTGCAATAAATTTGTTTAACAGCGTTTCTGCTGTTGATTTCCTCAGAGAAACCCAATTAAATACAAATTACTCTAATACCTAATGGACCGTGCTCTTGCTTGATTTGAGGCCAATTTCGTATATCGAAACGAGGGAAGTTTATGCATTTTATTCCTTAGAGAGCAATAATGAATCAATAAGAAAGGTAAGCAAGATCAGAAGTACATATTAACAGATACATAGTGGTGGATTTAAACAATGTTTTTCAACATAATAGTGGTTAATAATAATCGTTACAGACTTGCCTTATCCTCGAATAATTCTCTGGATATTCATCTCTTCAATAAATTATCTGAAGAAGTGAAAAACCTCCAAGCACCTAAGTTCAAGAAAATTATAAAAGAATATTTATTATTCCATTGTTTCTGTAGTGTTTCTGAGTGTATGGAGGCTCCAACAACCTTCCTTCTGAACCATACATCAGTAGGAAATCGTAACATATAAATCTGCCAAAGCTATATATAACTATATATCCCACTACTCTATGTAATTCTGATGTTTTCGTCTCTCACTACCTATATGTAATTTCAATTCGTAAACTGTGATAATAATAATAATAATAATAACTCGTCTTTATTCATCCATAAAATTATAAAAAGTGATATAGATGAAATGGCGAAGTGTCACCCAAGGGTGTTTTTCAACTTAACCATGATGTGTTAATTGATTATAAATACATTATAATATATAATATTGAATTACATTAATACTATCTGAAACTATGATAAGCTATCTAGCTATGTTTATAATACTATAGGTTTATATCGATATCAATATAAGAGGATTAATGAAGAGAATATAAAATGTCAGTAATAATCATTAATGAGCTAAGATACGTTAGTGAAACACTGCATTAACCATAGGAGTGCCAGAGGGGTCAATTGATTTCATTCAAGATCCAATTTGTGTAGATAATAATAATGATTTCAACTTTTTTTTGAAATTCAAAATACTATAGTCATAAAATTCATTGGGTAGTTGATTAGATGATTTACAGGCATTGTACGTAAAGGAACGTTGAAAGGTAGACGTCTTATGTTTATAGATTGTCAGCAATCGTGAATTCCTAGTGCAGTATTCGCTGGTATCACCTATTCTTACAAGTTTTTTTAGTAAATACGGAGGTTTTCCAATCTTTAATATTTTATGAGTAAGAGTGAGCGAATGTGATTTTCTAACATCCAATAATCTGAGCTTACCCGCTTCTAGAAATTTATGGCTAATGTGGTCATACTTTCGTATTCCATGGGAAAATCTGACGCAGGAGTTCTGAATTTTCTGCAGGCGGTCACTGTCGGTTTTCAAGAGAGCTGGTCCATATACACAATCACAATAAGCAATTTTTGAAAGAATAAGAGACTCACAAACTTGAAGTTTCAAACTAGAATTCATGGCATGTCGATTGGGGTAAAGCTGTTTTAAAATATTTTAAGAACCACGACAAAGTTGATTGACATGTTTTGTGAATCTCAATTCTGTGTCTACCCATGAACCCAAGTTTTTTACCTCGTTCCTAATGGGAATTGTGTTACCGCCCATGACGATATTTGGAGAAGTACTGGCAAGCTCACGTTTATGCTTTGGTCCAAAAAACAAAACACTTGACTTCTTTGCGTTCAACGTAAGGTTATGCGCTGCAGAGATATTCACCAAGGATTCTAAATCTGAGTTCACAACATTAGTACTATCAGGTTGTTCTACATCAAATGATAGATATAGTTGTGTGTCGTCTGCGTAATGGTGTATGTTACAATGCGAAACATATGAGTGGAAGTCCGAAATATAAATGGAAAATAACAGGGGTCCTAAGATGGACCCTTGCGGTACACCAGATTTCAGTGTTAGAGGTTCTGAAGTCTTCAGGTCATAAACGACTTTCTGACTCCTTCCTTTCAAGTAACGCTCCATCAGCCGAACAGAGTCTTCATCAAAGCCCAAATACCCCAGTTTGTCGAGGAAAACGTCGTGATCTATAGTGTCAAATGCCTTGCTGTATTGTCCTAACATACATATAAATATTTCTATTTCTTTCACCATAACTAGGTCTTATGTACCTATGTTATTTAACCATATACTTATACTTATAAATTGTTGATAATTAACCTGACCGATATGACCTGCTACAAACGTACCTATTGTATGTAAAGTGGTTGAGTAAAATTATCTATCTATCTATCTAGTAGGAGGAACTGAATTGAATTCAAGAGGGAAAGTATTCGTAACTGTCGTGTCGTCGAGATTGTCGTCCTGTACATGGGTTTGCATCAAGAGCCCAACTGTGAATGATTAATCAAGCAAGATGTCTGACAAATGCTTATATAGAGGGGGACAAATCACCAAAATATCGAATAACGATAAGTAGGCGCTAAATAAACCCAAGTAGGTTCGGTAGTGAGTGCAGTTCTATGGGATGAACCTCGCAGCCACAAGCATTTTACTCACTAGTAGTAGTTCAGCTAGACAATTATTATAAAAGAAATAATGCTGTCCCATAGTGGCTGCCTGATAGCGACAGCAGTATACCTTCCTGCGGCAGGAAATTCACTTTCAGCAAAGTCGTTATTGCCATCATGGGTTCTCAAGGTGCTGCTTCTATTCGAAAATGTATAACAGTAATTTAATTTCTTGTAATGGTAGCAAGAAATATCTCAGCAAAAACTCTAATAGCACAATTTTCCTCAGTGTACTCATAGAGGTATATGTTTCTTCCTCACAACAAATAATCGAGTCAAGGACTCCGAACTTTAGATCCATAAATAACACATAAGCTAGACATTTTGGAACATTTTGTGTTGTTCATGGATCGAAAGTTTGGAGTCCTTGAATGTTACCAATTTTTGTTAATATTTTGTGAGGAAGGAATTAACATACATCTCTATGAGTAGATCATTCGGGAACGTAGTCATTATGGATTTTTTATCAATGAACTTGACTTGTTATTAATTTATTTCAGAAAAAAAAAACAGTTGAGACTAGGACAAGCTAGTTCATCCACTTTTTCTTTGGATCTACTGTTTTAGCCTAAGAAAAATTAGTTTATTCTAAAATCGGGTTTGTCCGGTAACATCTATATCCCGAATATTTTGAAGTACTTATAACATTATTACTGATTATTGATTATTTTCGTAATGTACCTACTCTGTTTACCAATAGATTGAATAATAGAGGTATTTTGTAAAAAATGTACATAATTTATTTAGGGATTCATAGCAACATCATATAAGTTTTTCGTAAAATTCACATCGATTTTTTATAGAAAATAATCATCAATAAGACATCATTACGTATTGGCCTTTCTGGGGAGACATCCATCGATTTTGGTCGACCATCAACCTGCAAAAACATGAAATAACATTTTATAATCAATTTCGTTTGGCGTAACAAACATCATTATTCATATCCCCAGCGATATATATGTTTAAATTATTGAAATATACCATATTTTAAAATGTAAAACCATTTATTCGACTGCAAACGATAGATCCAACAGACATTTTTATGATTACTCCCAACACTACAAATGGAAACAATACAATGCATAGAGATAATTTTACTCTCCGTCCCTCTGAATTTATTAGAATAATAATTCTTCATACCCCTAATATTTCATAATATTTTATAGCTAGAAGTTCATGATTCGTGATGGTAAAGAGTTTTGCATTCACGATCTCTTTTTTCCCGATATTCACAGTGCGTTCACATGGTATCCTGATATGCTGTTTCACTTCTACATAATTATTTTTCAAATTGGGAATTTTTCGACTTGGAGCATGTACAGGGTTATTCATCGGAAATTCCACCCCAATATTGATGTTTTTTTGTAGCCAGAAGAGAAAAACAATATGAGGAACTTGAATACCGCAATGAGTCTATTCGACTGCCCTTATCAGAGTTTTTAAAGGGTGATCCCCAAAGTGTGAGAAGCCACAAATTATTTTTTTGTAATTTATCACCTTGTTTTCCATATATGAAAAAAATTATTTGTGTTTTGTCACGCTTTTAGGAATCACCATGTAGAACTTCTGATAAAGGCTGTAAAAAGGCCTCAGTGCGGCATTCAACTTCCACCTATTGTTTTCTTTTATCAATCATAACATGAATAAAATATAGGGGTTTATTAATAAATCTTGAATTTCCCATTCTCATACTCAGATTTTGAGAAATAGGAATAAATTTGATAGTTTGCATTTTTCAAGCTGCCATGCGCTAGATGATTCAGTCGTGATGTCTCGAAATCAGTGACTAGCGATTAAGATTCTTTCCTGGTAAGGAAGAAGGAATGCAATACGAGATAAATTACGTTGGTTTTGATAAATAATGTGTGAATCATTTGATAACAATTTGGTAACATTTTGTAAAGAAGGTGAAGTGGCAATGATGAAGTGACATTCATTTCGGAAAATCTCCTAAAATAAACAGAGTAATAAATAAAAACGATTTGACATATTTTCCTTATTTTCCGGATATCTGTGGTGCAAGTTCACTCTGATTTAACCTACTCTGTATCTCTCAAGGTCACCAAGATCCTCATGCTCATTCAAGAATTTGTAACACCCTGTATACCAATTTTATCTCTCAAGTTATTATGATAAACTACTCACCAATTCATAACACACGTTGGAGAACTAGAACCAGCATGTTTCCTAATACAGATATTGGGCTGACGATTGCTCCATCATCATAAACTGCAACAAAATATTTCATGATACAGATTGTCCCAGAATCAGCGTACAGTGTTTTTTGGTCACCTGAAGATGGCAATTTCAAAAGTTTTCCTTATAAAGAGATACAATTTTCATCAGAGGATGTAATTTCAAATACCTAGCAACCGCACGGAAGGGAATCCTTAGGGTAGGGAGAGAAGGTAGGTATTTGATTTTTTTGAACTTTTGAAGATTGAAAGTTCTTGGGAATACTTCATTAGGCAATGAATTCCAGAGCTTCAAGATTAATTTCGATATACCTGTTTATCTTCCATTTCATTGGTTATTCGATTCGTTAAATTCTCCTTATTGTGTCTCCATGAGAATGTATATGTTTCTTGACATCAATAAATGTGATTAAAATATGATTATTATGGCAAAAATTAACAATTAAAGACGAATTTCATTCAGTGATGGTGATTTCTCAATGCTTCGGATTTTAATCGCTGTTAGTTCACCTACCTTGATCTCAACTATCATTCCGTGGTATATTCATAGTCAATGACTTTCAGGTTTGCTCAACTCTTCCCTACATTTAAGTAGTGGTATCAGCTATTGTTACATGTCTATGCTCATTGTCAGAATTTCATGTTTTATCCCTTGACATTGACTTTGACTCATGTCGACGTCTTGTCTACGTCATTATTTGACATTATTTTTTGTATTTCCTAACCATATTAGTTTAGATTTTTTTTTTTACTCTCAAAATGACAAAAAAAAATCATTATGTATAGGAATAGTCAGCACTTATATCTAATCTATAACTAATACTAAATAAATGAGATGAAATAAAAACAAGAATATCGATAAATTTTCAGCTCTTTTGATGATTTCTGGAAGATTATTATAGATTTTAGGTCCAATGCATTTGGGAGCATTTTGAGTAATTTTATATTTTGCAGCTTCGACATGTATCAGTGGTTTCTGACGAGTGATCTTTTCATGAATATCACTATTCAGAATGAAGTCGGTTTCATTAGTGAATACATAACATATATGAATATTCTTATGAGAGTTGTAATTTTTTGATTTATAAATAGAGTTCTACATGAACAACGTCTAGGAGTATTGAATATACATCGTAAAATAGCCTTCTGTTCAATAAAGACGTTTCTACCCATTGTTGAGGTACCCTAGACTAAACCTGAGCAAAATATACACTGATGATATGGTTTTTAATCAAAACTACTCTCAGATTCCTAAAGAGATGAGTGAACACAATTTTGAAACCAGTTGTTCACAGTGTGGAATCCAGTTCAGATCATATATTCATCCATCTGCATACCCAAGAATTTTACTGGATTGAGGGTGCTTTGTAGGGTGGTATTATTGATATTCAGTTGAAGTGCTTCAGTTTTATTCTGATAATTATAATAACGAATCACCTAAGTTTTTAGCATTGAAAAATAGATCCTGTCTGTTGAAATATACAGTAGTTAAAGACTCTAGATTTAAACACGTGTTGGCTGTTTGCCCCATGAATTTTATTGATATTTTCTTTCAGTAGCGCTTTCATAAGGGCACGAAGAACCCCTTCCTTGAAAAACCCGTTAATTTATGATGTTGTCAAAAACCCAACCTCTTGGCAAATGCCCTCCTAGTAGAACTTTCAATAAGGCTGAAGATGGTCATTTATAAGACGGAAACATGTCCCTTATGATTATGTAACAATACCATCAAAATTTGTGAAGATGACTTGAAGCATTCCCGCCTTCCTTTGAATAATTATAAAATCATTAATTTTGATTTGTTTGAAAATTTTCCAGAAAGAATAGCTTGATTATATTCCATATTCTCATGACAATATTCCCAAGATTATAGGTAACCGCACTATACCAAAGGCGTTGTCCTCATATCAAACATCGTGCCTTCGAAAATTGCTGAGAGATTATTACGTAATTATTAATGCCCTTGGGAAATTACATCTGATGATTCCTGCGAGTAAAGGACTTATTGGTGATTACATACTGATATCTGGGAAGATCAATATGTTTAATCATCAAAGTGGAAGTAATTATACATTGTCTCTATACTACAAAATAATAAGCATATCTGTTGTTTTGCAGGAGTTACATCATTCCTAAGTAATATGCTTTCTACTAATTGAAGGGTTTCTGAATGCACGGCAGGGGAAATTTGGAGATGAATCAAGAGCATGAATCAACCGCAATGTTAAAATATTTCCTCCTCCAGAAATACTCACAGAATTAATCTATTTCAATTCAAAATACTCTCCATGGTGATAGTAGTTTTCTGATATAAATCTCATCATCTTCTGCATAAAAACTTCATTCTTCTCTTCCTCTATGCCAAGCTTCAAGACTCACTCATTCCAGCTGATAATCTGTCAGTAGATTGAATTTGTTCTCTCTCAGGCTGACATATGCAATCGTTTATTCGGTTAGGTTCATCAATGGGTCAACGAACGAGCTTTCAAATTTTCGTTTCCTGATGTTCAAGAAAAAAGGTTGAACACGATTTTTCAAAAAAACTTTGATACCGCTACGTTCAGGTCCTTTGAACGCAGGTTCTGTTCTGATCTCTTATTTTGGTTTTTACACGGTGTTTCGAGTATACTCATAGCATAGTTGCTTGTGTACCAAGGCAGTTCTAAAGGAGTTCGGAATTGTTTCTTCAAGAGCTTCGTGCTTCAAGAGCAGCTTGGCTATCTGATGCTTTTGATACCCATAGGTCTGCAACTCTCTGGCAAAATATTTCATGATAGAAACTTCTTCCTTGGAGAAAGTTATAGCCATCTGTGTATATAAATTAAGTCAGTTACTGGGATCAATTGATTCACCTATTCATTTGTATCTCTTCGTATTCAGGATCAGGATATTCGAGTGTTTTCTAAGTCGTTTCTCCCCAATTCAATTCCTCAACGACAAAAACCCATATGAAGCCATATTGGTTTCATTCTTTGACAGAATAAAGAACAGGGAGATCCAGAAGGAAGCCGTTCATTTCATCAGACCTTCGGTCCTTCACAGTACTGAGCTATACGTTATACCATTGGTTTCATTATTATTTGATAGATCTAGTTAAGCTGTTTACCACTATGGTTCATAAAATGAACGAAAATGGTAGATAACGAGAGATAAACAACTACTTTCCTGGCTATATGCCACGCAGTACATTGAATTACATCCTCCCGAAATCAACAATTCGTGAAGAAGAATAGAGTTGCAAGTGTTCCTTTCCTAAATGCTGAGCTACAGACCGGTTTCGAGCTTCTGGTTCTCATCAGTACAGTGTTCAATTCAATGTTCTGCGTGGCATATATCCAGAAAAGTAATGTTTTACTCTCCTACTCATTTACGTTTTTATCATGAACATATAATGACTTTGAGTGTTCCCCTATAGCTAATTATTCCTCTTCGTGTATTTCGACTTCTTCCCTAAAAAAAATGCCAGTCGGGCGATCGGTCACTCCCATTCCTCCCGAATTTAAGTCTTGGAGTGTTTCTCTCCTTGTGTACTGAACCTCGTTGTGTCCATTTTGGAGTGATCGAATGCCTCGTGGGTATTATATGCTGAAAAGTGGTCACGTTGGGTCAGGCTCGCACCAGATGGCGGTCATGAATGACAGACAGTCCGTCTGTCATCTTGGAACCGGTTCAAGCTCAATTCAGCATTCAGGAAGGAAACACTTGCGATCTTATTCGTCTATACGAATCGTTGCATAGATTTCGGGAGTATGTGTCATATTCGTTCATTTTATGAACTATATTGTGGTAATGACTTTGAGTTTTTGGCTCTCTGTTATCTCAGCTCATTTAACCATTCGGAGGTGTCTACAGATGTTAGATCTCTGTCTCTTCTCAATCAACTCTTCTGAGAGTGAGTCTTGAACCGAATTGACTGATGACAGAAAAAGGTGGAATGTTCCAACAGTCCCTAGTTGGAAAAACGTCAGTCGGGCAATCAGCCACACCCATTTCATCTAAAATGGCAATTTGTTTTAGAGAGAATCTTTCCTTCTACTCAGGTGGCGTTTGTGTCCATCTCGCAGATTCGGCCTCGTGGGTATTAAATGTTGGGTTGTGTTTACGTTTAGTCAGGTTAGCACCAGATGGCGGTCAAGAAGTCATCTTAGACACCGCTGCACTGATGAGAGCTTGAAAGCGGTCTGTAGGTAGTCAACAGTTCCCGAACAATTTGAGCACAGCTCAGCATTTAGGAAAGAATCGCTTGCTGCTGTTCGTCTTTGATAATCGTTGCATAGATATCATGAGGATGTATTTGAATGTTTTGCATGGCATATAGTCAAGAAAGTAGTTGTTTTTTTCTCGTTATCTACCGTTTATTTTGTTCATTTCATGAACTATTGAATTGTGGTGATGACTTCAAGTTTCTCTCTCTTTTTGAAAAGGGTTTAAGCTCCAAATGCTCCAAGTAATAATATATGGACAGTTTTTTTTTGAAAAGCATACTAGAAAACGATATACGTGCAGGTCTTCAGTTGAGGAATCAGTCTAGATATATGATCTAGTATGTTTCCGAGAATTCCCCACAAATAACATTCAGAAAATATCAAGGATTTTCCAATTTTCCAGTTCCGTTCACATCATGTTCGATTTAAACACAATAAAAGTGCATCGATCAAGGTTCGAAATCCAGCAGATACATACGATCTGTCAATACGTGTTCCACAATTTTCTCTGACACAGGTGAATTCAATTTCTCTCGTCTCTAGAACATCTCCATCACTTATATAATATATTTATGGATGTTCTGTCTACCAATTATAATCAGTGATGAGAAATCTAGAATGTCTAATTTTTTGGGAGAACTTTATAGTTTTTGATGAGTGAATATTTGCAATTATTGATGAGGCAATTCAGTTTCGTGAGATGCTAGAATCTTTCGAAAAAATCAACCGCACTTTTAGTCATATCTCCTTTCGTTAATAATAAATGAAATTTGTATCAGGATGCATGAGTGGTTCTATCCCTTTTTGTTCTGAGAGAGAACAAGAATAA